CCAGTGTCCGGAGGGCTCTGGGGGGCAAACTCCAGCGCATCCTAAGCTGCCCAGCCCAGGCGGTTTCTCTGCCTCGCGAGACCAGCCCAGGGTCTCTGGTCCCTGTTACCTGGCTGAGCAGGATGTCAAAGTAGGCTGTGTCCCAGTAGGACCCGTCCTTGGCGGGGAGCTGCAAGAGGGCTTGGGTGCCAGGATCTGCCTGCCGGTTGTCAGTGCGTGCAGGGAGGCCAAAATGGAAGCGGAGGAAGTGTCGGGGATCCCGGGCGAAGCTCTCCACCTTACGGTAGAGGGAGGTGGGGTCCAGGGCCTCTCCTTGGAAGAGGTTCTCCTCCGGGTGCAGGAAGTGGGGCAGGTGCCCAGTGGCCAGGCAGCGGAGGAGGATCACCAAGAGCCTGTAGACTGAGCCCTCCAGGTCCTGCCAGTCCTCTGGGGAGGGGAAGAGCTCCATGCTCCACAGCAGCACCATCTGCGGGGAGGGAGAGAAGGGTGCAGGATCAGGCACTCCCCACAAAGGCCATGCCTTCATACCCTGCAGGCAACTGCACAACCACCCGTGGGGCTGAGCCCTCAACACAGATATGATGTCCGCAGCGGCCCAGGGCTGCGCAGGCTCTCAGAGCTGCTGCTTCAGCTGCTGCCGGCACAGCTGATGCCCCACCACTCCTTCGTTTTGAACCTTTGCTGCACTCCCCAAAGATCCCCCATCTCGGGTCTGAGGCAGGTCCCAGCTCCACAGCAGCTCTGAAACAACATGCCCAAGCCTTCCACGGCACCAAGCAATAGTAAAAAACCTTGCTTGTGGTTTCCACCAGCTGCCGGCAAGGCAGGTGAACCCCCAGCAGCTGCCATGCCAGCTTCCTTGGCACTGCACTGGCAAACGGCCTGGCACCGATGCCTTTTGGCAATATAGTGCAATAGGCAATGCACACAGTGGGCTGGAGCAGATGCTTTTTTGGACAGATGCATACTATGCCCTTTAAAAAAAAAAAAAATCAAAGAATGCAACATAAAGCAAAACCCATAGGACTTGGGTTACTTGGAGCTGGAGCCATTCTCTCAGCAGAAGACGACTTTGCCTCCTTCTCCACCCTGGCCCGGGGAGCCACCACAAGGCAGGGCACACCCGGACTGTGCCAACAGGTGCTGTCCCCAGCATGGCCACTCTCCCCATCGGCATCACCAGCTGGTGTGTGTCCAGAGCGCCAAAAACAGGTCGGGAGGGGAGAGAGGGTTTTGTCAGACAAAATGCCACCCTCAGCCCTGTATGGGCACCTCCATGCTAGGGCACAGGACGACCTGCAGCATGGCACGCATGGCAACACAATCCCAGTAGGGGCCTGTGCCAGGGGATGCCTGACACGTCGGCAGAGTCCCAGCTCTTGTCACTCAGGGTGTTTCAGGCTGGAGGATGCTGGTTCAATCCAGCAAGTGCCTGTTGTTTGCCAGGAAGAAGGATAAACACCCCTAACCATGGCTGACACTGTGCATCCTACCTGGACACAGCCATGGGCTGGTACATCCCAAAGCACTGCAAGCACTTGCCTTTGTGGCTTGGGATCCTCCAGCAGCGACTCGGCTGCAGCAGGGTGCAGAGGAGCAGCCTTGGCTCTGCCTGCCCCGAGAGCCACGGTCCCGCCAGCAGAACCTACCTACCTTCAGGTGGTTGAAGGTGAGACCACACTTCCCACCCTCCTCTCCCCAGTCCTGGCTGCGGAGCTGCTCGAGCAGGCGAAGGCTGTCCAGACGGGGTCCCTTCAGGGTGTCCACTGCCCAGAGCAGCTTCAGGATGGGGAGGTGAGTGGAGGATCTGGCGAGAGAAAGTGGTGAGAGGGAGGATGGATACCCGCATCCTCCCAGCTGGAGAGAGGATACCTGCAGTGACGCGGTGCATGCGGGGATCCCCCCGGGCCGCCCATGTGGGCCCGGACACGCAGCACCCTGGATCCACCTCCTGCACCCGTCTCCGGCAAAGAGGCACCAGGGAGATTTGCAGTGTGATGGGGATGCTGCTGAGCAGCTCCTGCCTTCCCGGGAGGTACAAGAGGGGAGGCGAAGTGGGGTTGTGCTCCCCGACGTGCA